ATATTAGAGTTATTAGTACAACGGATTGATTTTTGGAAATAGGTATTATTATTAGCAATAGAACCTAACTAGTAATGTTATTCCCTTAGTTAAATCAAATTTTTCATATGTTTTATCTAATACATAAATTGTAACTTTTTAGGGAATCATATATACATATATGATTACTGATTGGTATATGAATACACCAAAATTAGTTATATTGATATATGTTCATTAAGTATTAAAAACACTGATTATTTGAAAAATCACAAAATAATACTTGAAAAGTAAACACAAATTTAAGAGATATTTATTTTTAAAATTATAATTAAACATTTAAAATAAAAATTAAAGCAAATGTATGTAATCAAAATAATTTTAATACTTAAAAGATATAGCAAACTGACTAACGAATTATTGTGCACAGATTACTGAATCGTTACCAAAACTATTTAAAAGTATATACATAATTTTAAATAGTTAAACAAATAATTTATAATTAAATAGATTATAAAATAAGTAAAAAGTTAGATTTGTCTGTACTGGAGCTTCAGTACCCTGAAGTTACATTTTTTGCTACATTTTTAGTTATATTTTCACACTTAATTATTTGAAAGTTACACACAAATTTTTTTATAAAGATATTATTTATGTTAGTATGATATAGTTAACCAATTTTATCCATTAATCGATTTTGTCTACATATAGAAAGAAGTATGAGATAGTTTTTATGCTAACTGGCTGTTAGATAGATGTCAGATATTAAAAATAAACTGACTTCAATGTTTCATTCAGCGAGTTACAAACATTATTTTAATATAAACTTAATACACTCTTTTTAATTATTTGTGTAAAAGTAATATAAATAAACTTAATAAGTATAAAAAGATATGAGGGGTATTCACGAAAATGTATTTATAGTAAGCATTTCGTATGGACAGCATTAAAAGTTTGTTTTTGATTGATATTAAATATTTGCACATTTATTTTACAAATTGAAATTGTACTCAGAGAGTGTATTTCATGCAAGTTTTGATTTATTTAATAATTTATTTATTCTTGTTCAAGAATGCACAATTTACATAGCTTATTTTACTTTTATTATAAGCTATTTTTTGATTTATTTAAAACTTATTGAAAAATTGTTATAAAATATTTTTAAAAACTAATATATAACATAATGAAACCTCTTAAATTATGTCGAATTTTAAACAGTAAAAATTTTTTTGTATTATATTAAATTTTAGCTGATTTTAACAAGAGCCAAATTTGTTAACAAATCGAGACAATCAGGTGTGCTCACGACTTAGAGTAACCGGTTGCTCTTTTACTCTGTTACCGAGCTCGTTACTCGAGCTCGTGAATACCCCTATGGTTAAAACATAAATTATTTCGATATTAAATCATCTAAACCAACTAAAAAATTTTAAGTTAGCTGTTCAGAAACTCACATACCCTCTATATGGAATAAAAGACAAAATCCCTTTATAAAAATCAAAACAAAAATTTTCTATATAAAAACACAAGATTTTATATTAATATAAGTATTAAAATTACACTAGTAATATTTTATACTAGTGCTTGGTTTAGTTTTAATTTAGCTGCTCAAATACGTAATTTTGTGAAATAATATTAAATGAAAAAATTTAGTTATTAATTTCAAAACAGATATATGCATATTAACCTAATAGACTTTTTAAATATATAGCGTAATAAAAAAATATATAATTTCAAAATTTGTTGATAAATACAAATTTCTCGCTTACCAGAACTTATATCTAACCGTTTAGCTTATAGGGAAGTTAGCGACTAAGTTTTATCAAACACTGCTAATTTTAATAATCATATAAAATAGTAGTTGTAATAATTAATAACCCGAGTGTTATAAATAAAAATGACTCAACAAATATTAATTTGTATTATAAAATAATTTATATCTCAAACGTACGTTTAGGAGGCAGCCATTACTAAATCTTAACTTATATAAAATCAATAAATATATATCAAATATCATTTACATTCTCCACATACAAAATTACATTCTCCACATACAAAATTTCAAGTAGTTTTAAAAATAGTGAAAAATAAATTATTATTTAGTTTTTGTGGTGTAGATGATCGAATTCGATGTGTTGAATATGGCAGACAGACGGACATGAATATATAAATTTTATTGAGCTGATTAAAAATACATATATACACCATATAGGATTTCCACATATAGGGTTGGAGTATATTAAACTCTTTTTATACAATGTATAATAACAGATATAATAATATACACATATAATTTTAAACATGGAGCAGTAAACTTCTAAGAAGTTAAATACATATATTAAATACGTATGTTATTAAAAAAAAAAAACTAGTTAAAAATAATGTATTATGTATAAAAATTATGTATAAATTAAAATTCATATAATTTAACACTCAAATAAGAAAAATAAAAAAAATAAAAAAAATAAAAAAAAATAAAAAAAATAAAAATTCAATATTTCAATAAAGATTTATTGTAGTTTAAAAATGAAACATTATTTTTGTTTAATTAAAGTTTTTCTCTACAAACTCTTAGTGTTGTAGTATTGTATATATACTATAAATTGTTTTTTTTTTTTGATTATATATAGACTTTTAACGACACACATTTTATATAAAGTATCTTAATTTATGTCTTTGTAAGACAAAATAATGACAAGAATTCAATAAAAGTAAGATAAAATGTTTAATCTTAAAACTATTAGAATATAAAAAGGCCTTAATGTGTAACAGTCAAAATATTTCTTTTTTTAAAAAAAATAGCTGAAATTTTTCATATTTTATAACTTAAATATATGTTATGTTCATAACAAAATCATTGAAAATTAAAATTTTATAATACTATTAAGCAATTACAAATACAATTTTTTTATATTGTTATTTCTTTACACCAATTACAACAATTAAACTGGATATGGTTATATAATTGTTAATTATATTAAATTTAATTTTTTGAATACACTTTTATTCAAACATTACTTATGACATAGATTTTTAAATTCATATTAATTATTAAAAATGCAAAATAAGAAATATAGTTTTACAGGATAATTCTGAAAAAAGTTCGTTAAAAGTTTTGCGTAAGATCTTTGTAAGAGGGACCATATGACCGTAAACAGCTGTTAATCGCTACCGCATACAAGTAAACAATTGAATTTTAATACAAATGTAATGGAAAGTCGTAACATGTATGTTCGATTATTACTATTATTTATACATTAATAATTATATACCGAATATATCTCATGTCATAAAAGAAATAATAGCAACAATTGCTGCATTAACAACAGCAGCGGCAAAAAAAAAATTAATTAGTTTTGATCGGTAGCGATTAGCAGCTGTTTACGGTCTTACGGTCTCTCCTAAAAAGATCTTACGCGAGACTTTTAATGATCTTTGTCAGAATTGCCCTGTTAATTAAAATAAAAATTGTATAAGCAAAATAAAATATAATTCTTTTCAATTGAAATAAAGAAGTAAATTTTTAATTAAAATAAAAAATTAAAAAAAAAAAAGAAAAGAAAAAATTAAAAAAAAAGAAAAGAAAAAATTAAAAAACAGGTTAAAAATAATAAAATAATAAAGTATATACCAAACAAAAATTGGAATAGTCACTTTTAAATAGCATTTTGCTTTTTTATTTAGTGACGCATTTTAAAAACAAAAATTAACGAATGAAATTATAAATTGTTTTTAAATCATTTATTTATACAATATTTTTACTTTAAAAATTATGATAAAAAATAAAATATAATATCGTTCGATATTCAATATTTATTAAACAAACTTTTACAAAAATAATTATTTATATTTATTTATGTTCATATTATTTTTTATTCTCTTATTTATTTATATTTTCTTTGTTTTTTAATTTAACATTCACTTAGTTAAATTTTTTAAAAATGCAAAGAAAATACATATTTTCTTTTTTCTTGTTATGATACATATTTTTCCTATCTACCTGCATTAACTGTTAAGGAAGTAATATCCAAAAAATAATAATTTGTAACGAATATGAGTAGTGGTGTTCAATTTTTAATATTAACCGAAAAATCAGTAGTAATGATTTAATGATTTAATTAAATATACATCAATTTCTAAACTGAAATTGCTAAACTTATTCCAGGTAATGTGATTTGGAAAGTTGATTTTTGAAAATAAATTTGAATACATATATTTTTAAACATATTTGATACCACTTCCCAATGTGAATGCATTTTGATAGGAATAAGTATCTAAATTACGTAATATAATTTTTTACTTTTCATTAATAAATGATTTGTTTTAAGCTCTTTTCTTGTAAGTGAATACATACAGTAGTGTGCAAGAAATAGCAACAAATTAAAGAATTTATTGTCACAATTTAATTGCAAATATAAATTTTAATAAAGCAATTAGAATAAAAGTAATGTTGAGCTGTTGTTAATTAACTTCTTACAAATATTTAAAACACATTATTGGAATCTAATTGTTTTATTGTAAATAATACTTTTAATTATAGTGTGCACTACTGTATATATAAAAGTAACTGTGAATTTGATATTGTAAAATATTTTATAAATTAAAATATTTTAATAATAGTTTTCAAATTTACATTTGAAATTATAAATTAAAACATAAATTTATTTTTGTTTCATTAGATTTCAGTGAAGAAAAACAAAACATAATAATAAAGCGGAATATTAAAGTTAAAAGTGATATTAAATATACCATCACAAATATCTCATGAGAAATTTTTATTTAAGATAGTAAATATTTTATTTTTAAAATGTTAAAAAATCAATTATCTTCTCTGAGCATCTTTTACTACATATTCGAGTAAACTTTAGTAATACATAGTTTCATTTTAGGAAAACGTCGAGTACATGATCTTATTTTTTTTTGATCAACTACTTTCAATAAAATTTTAATATTGTTAATCTCAGATTTTTGTACAATAATATAGTTAAAAATTTTAATTTAAATTATAATTAGTCATTTACTTTAAAAACTGTTCTATTCAATTTTTGATTTTATAGCTATAGAAGTTTTAAGCATAGCATATTTAAAAAAATAATTCTTAGAAAATTGAGAGAATTTTGTTAAAAATTTTATATTTAAACTTGAATGGCATCAAAGGATGTCGCCAATTTTAGCATTAAATTCGCTATTGTATCCACTACCAAATTTTCACCATTAAATTGTATCACCTGTTTCTGTCCGTTTCTATAGAAACGGTGTGCATTTTTAGGTGCCGGCACCCAAACTAACATATTGGGATTTAAACAATTGATCCATAATTCAGCATTTGATTTACCTTGCACAATGATATATTCACTTGTTTTAGATGCATTTGTAATGCAATCAAAGTCTTCTTCCGACAACGGAAGTCGCTTGAGAATGCGATGTGTCGGATTTGATTCTGATAAGGTGCAAGCTATGATTAGCAATTCAGGTTTATCTTCATCATTTAACAAATGTTGAAGTAATACAAACATACGATTATTATCTCTTTCAGTATGCATAAAGCACAATACACCTAAATTAAAACCCAAATTTAAGTTGAGATCATAATTGAATAGTGTATCGCCACTGCGATGATTCCAAATCGTTACAACAGTTTTACCAAATCCAACGAGTTGTTCTTCTAAAACGAAATAATTTAAATAATTGCAAAAGTTTTTAGTTTATCTTATTATATACCATACCATTTAAGCATTGTAATTGTAATATTTTATAATTTATATTTTTAAAGTCACGTATGCTGGCCAAACTATCCATTAGCGGTGAAACAGCATATTTACATATACCGGAACGATTTTTTCCTGCAACATTCTGTTGATACCATGACACCAAAAAATATCCAGAACCCGGTATGCACGTATAAGTAATATCATCGAATCGACTGAAAAAAGTTCCATATATTTTACATTGTATTAAAGGTACGAGTTGTGATACTTTAAAAAAATGATATATTCAAGTACTATAGTAACTATTTTTTAAATTGTTTATGTCATAAATTGAAGAGCTTTTGATAGAATAACTTTTTTTAATACGATGTATGTCGATATACCTTTATTATTGAGTAACCAGACTTTAAAGTAAAATGCTTTTTATATAAATCAAAAATTATAACGATATCTGAAGCAATAAAGCTAAATTAACTTATAGTGCAAGGAAAAAAACTTTTTGAGAATATTGAATTTTGCCATAATTAGTTATTAAATTGCGATTTCTGTGCAATTGGAATCGTTCCAATAAATTATATAATTATTAATTTGTATAGTAGATGCATTTTATAATAAAATTGATTTTTAATGTATATATATGGCAAGCAACATAATTCATTTTGGAAGACCTACGTCACTACATCTGCCAGACGACCAATTGGCGGTCAATCCCAATTCCAAAGATGGATAAAACCAGCAGATGTCTTCATGTTAAATCAACAACAAAAGTGACATATAAATTACTTAGTTCAACACAGTATTAATATGGAAATAACACAAGATTTAATTGTAGTGTTCGTAGGCTGCACAAGTAGTTCTTGAGATAAAAACGTTACATTCAAAGCACAAAGACGTTTTTTTAATTTCTAAATTGATAGCTTGTTGCATAAACAATTTTTTTTTTTAAAGAAATTATTCTGATATAATTATTTAATAGCTTCAGCAGTATAAAATATAAAGTATATCCTTCATTGCTATTTGAATCATAAATCAATGAACCACAATGAAATTAATATAAACGTTTTGCGTTAGAACTATATAGTAAACAATTTTTAATTAAATAGCAAACTCTAAATTATATCTAAACGTGCATATTTCTATGCTATGAAATGTTCAATGCCCTATAGTTAGTTACCTTTGTAAAGTATCCAAGTTTATTTGATGCACTCCCACGCTATCAAACTCATCACTATAAAAATATATTTTTATGTACATACAAACGAGATCACATGTCCGATATGAACTCTCGATACCTTTACCATGCAATTCCAAGTACATTGTATTATTAGTAATCGTTGTGCAGATACGGTTAGAAACAACTGTTTTAACTTCGGTATCTAAAAAAATTTCGTGTCAATTATTTTGAGATAAAATAAAAAATGTACGACTTACCATTCACAGTTCGATTACTACAACCCAACCTTAACCAATTAATTTCTTCGAATGAGGTGGCAGCATTACTTGTATTACTTGTATTTGTATAATTTGGGACGCTCTGTGTTTCAATATTATCAGTAGTTTGAAGCTGTTGTTGATTTACATTTTGCAAAATATCTACTGAGTCAACTAATGTATTTACCAATTTCGAGTATTTCCAAAAACTGACTAAAATTTCCTGTACTACAACAAGTACATCAGATTCAAAGAATATATGTAATATTTTTCCCTTTTCATTATTTATATCAATTTTTGGATCAGGTGGAGGACGAGTTATGTATTTGACAGGTAACTCAGGTTCACAATTTTCGCACTGAGTTGCTATATCCTTTGTCTCTACTATTATATCAGAGCTTATAAATGAATCTTTACTAATCATCAATTCATCAGCTTTTGTTATAACGTTGTTGTTAATAGTCATTTCAATCGAATTATCTGTATCTCCATTTAATAATTCTACAACATTATCATCTGTGCTCTGGACTACCGCCTGAGACGTATCAACTTCAATAGCCGTTGGCAATTCATCAGGAAGTAAAATTGTTGCGTTCGCTGTTTCTTTATGAATATTATTTATTGACTTATTTTCAGGGGAATTCCGACCTGATACCCTTGAACTACGTTCAATCATTTTTGATGTGGCAATCAAAGTTTCTTCAACGGGTTTTTTATTTTTATTTTTTTTATTTTTACGCAATTTATGTAGTATTATTACTTTTCTACTGCGTAACGTTTTTTGTAAACTCAATCTAAAATGCCCAGAAGTCATTAGCTTTGACAATCGAGCTCTTGGGTTACGTTTAGAGACTACACCATTTACTAAATTTGTTTTACTTTTTGTTGAAGTTGGAGAGTCAGTAGTATTAGCTTTTGGTATTTCATGTGTGATAGCTGCACTTATAGAAGGTATTTCTATTGGCGGCGGCGAATTTGATAGGGATTGCTGCGAAGGTATAACAGTTTGTGTCCCAATTTCCGTTTTATTTATATCAGATATTGCCTTTGGGTCTGTATGTACCTCTTTTGTACTTGAAAATTGATCCACAATTATAGATCTGGATTCTTGATTCTGTACGGAGGCGACTAAGAGTCTATACTTTGCTTGTACCTTATCTAATAATTCGGAGCAGTTGTAGGTTTGTTCATGAGGAATAATTTTTTGTAACAAATCGATACTTCTTTCAAAATCAAGAGCTGTAAATTTTTTTACTGGCGTATTATTTAAATTTATTGTAGAATTCTGAGTGGATGAACTTTCGTCCAATCCTTCTGACATTACATCATTTTTTTGAATTGGTTGTAATGATGATGGAGTACAAGAGGTCTCTGGAGTTCGTGAAAATACTGCTCTTCTTTGTACTTGGTATAATAAGCGTGAATTTTTTAAACTTATATTTTGAGATATTGGCAAGATAGAATTGCGTAATGTTACATTATTCATATTTGGCAAATATCCACTACAATCACCCTGGCAACATTGTAGTGGGCGCGGAAACAGCTTTATCTTTTTGGTAGTTGGAAAAGGTGGTGTCACTAGTAATCGATAACCATTTTGTACACGATAGTACTCTGATTTGATGCTACCTCCACCCCTGTCACTAAATGATGAACGTGGACAAGTTGATGATTCTGGTGTAGATTTTCTGACGATTTTTTGTTCACTTTCTAAATGAGGGATTGTAAGTGGCGTAGTTGAATGACTTTTGCTATTGTCCGTATTGTCATTAGATGAAAAGTGGTATTCTATCTTTATTTTGGCTTCACGATTATTAGGTATATTAAATGGTTTTGGTACTGTTGGAGTTTTCTTATTTCTGAAATGAAAAAAATTGTTTTGGTATAAATAAACTACATATATAAGAATTATCTTCATGATACGTACTTTTCTTTCTTTTGCTTATCTTTAGCTTTTTTTATTCTTGACTTATTTGGACGCGCTATTTTATAAGACTTCTTGTCCTTAGTCATATTTTTCTCCTTATCTAACTGCATACGTCGTACGCGAAGCGAACGACGTTGTAGATGACTAGTTGCCAGTTCAGCGCTCGCACTTGTTATGGCATTCATATTTGACGTGTCAGTCAGGCCTAAATAAGTATAAAATTCTTGTTGTTGGTGTTCATTACTAAGTGATGTTGAAAGTTCATTACTATAATCTGCAGTACTATCGTCGCTATTGCTGTCCTTATGGTTGCTTTCACTGCCACTGAAGTCATTTGAGTTTGATCCTTTGCGGGACTTAAACAATTGGTCAGCATGTTCTTTTAAATTGAAATTTTCTTTAAATTTTGTAAAATCCCAGAACGTTTCAATGAGGCGTTTTGTATTATTATTAAGACCTGTTGGTTTAGAAACAAGAGCTATGTTATTATCGCATTTATTGCAATTATCTGCAGGTGTTGTATTTGTATTTGTATATTTTTTAGCATTTTTATCTTCAATTGTGTTTTCTTTAATTGCAGGATGTTTACCATTTTCATTCACTTGAGTTATAAATTGGACATTTGTACGCTTTTTGCGGGCAAATTGGGCTCTACCCTCAGTTGACGTTGAGTCTTCATATGAGGACGGTTTACCACAGTGTCCAGTTTCTTGTAATCTAGCTCTATAATCGTTAGCTTCTTGCAATAACTTTTGCCTTTTTGTAACACCAGATGTGCTAGGAAGTTCTGGATTGTTATCTTGTAAGTTTGATTTATCGTTAATAGTCGTTGAATACAATCTAAAATCTTTTAAATCTGTAGGCATAGATCCAGTTTCAATTAGTTTACGTCTTTCAACTTCGTATTTCTCAAAATCTTTATCGAAATTAATCACGTCTTCAATATCACTAACAACATCAGAGGAATTCCATGCTTCTATTTTATCTCGAATATTTAGACGTAAATGCTCCAATTGTATGAGACGAAATTCAAATAAGTCTGTTGATAAACGTCGTTTTCTTTTACCTTGACACGAAGAATCACTGACCGGAAAGTCACCTGTTGAATCTGTTCTACTTTTATTTGCTCTTTCAATTGGTTTTCTTTGGCTAATGCTTATGGACATTCCGGTACGATATGGTGAAAATTTACGCAAAGAATTGTAGTTGGAGCTGGAGATTTCAATTGCAGCACTTGTATCTAAATTCTCACTAGCTCCTTTAAAGGATATATAATAAGGAATTCATATTTATACAACACACAGAAGTATTATTGTAAGTGTATATTTATATATAATGTAATACAAATATATAAAATTGTAGAGTTGTGAGTACTAGACTGAATCATTAATTTTATCTTATTAGTAGTTATGGTATAAGTCATTATTGCCAATATTTATAATTATGAAAGTTAATGCGCACATATGAAAAAAGTTGCGATAAGATGAATTTTATTCATTCTTTGAAAGCAATGATATGCAATCTCATAAGGTTAGATTGTAATACAAAACGCATATGCTTATTGACATCAACCAGGTATCATATTCCGCACTCATGCAATTTAATATATCGATTCAAAATTTTTTATATAACATACTGCCTTACATACATAAATCTAAATAAGTTAATTCATTGTAAAAGTGCGACTTAAATAAAAAAACGTAATTAATATAATAGGCATTTTGATGAACAAGGCGTTGGCAGTTATATCAACTTTAAATAAATAAACATTTCTAAGGAATAATTTGTATACATTAAACTTATAAAAGAATCCTCTATATACACTAATAATATACAAAAGCGTTTATATACAATCGAAATTAAAATGCAGATACATATATATATATCTATAAATATATGTATATATCTACATATACTAAATACACACTTGCTGCGATAATTAACTATGTAGATGTATATATATATAAAAATATAGGCGTATATGAAATTATTTATTTGACTAAAATATTACCTATATTTTGACTTTCCATATTGACCACAGCAGGGCTTTCAGAATCGATTATATTTATTTTTTCATCTTCAACATCGACAACTATAATATCAGAGTCGTTGTCAATATTAACAGAAGAATTCACTTGTTGTTCATTCTTTGGACTTGAATTTATTGACATATTGTTTTCTGTTTTAATCCTAACAGGAGCAGCAGCATTAAAACGTTCTGAAAGAATATCATTTTCGGGACCCGTTGACTCGTTACTTAAACCACTGCCGCATGAACTTATAATAATTGTATCTCTGAAATTACAAAAGGCGCTACCTTTCAATTTGTTGGATTCAGTATTGCCTTCGTTCACTGGATTATTTGCTAGCCCGCGTTTTTCCATTTTTTCTCCCGTTTCAGGCGAAGACAATATAGTTTTCTGCTCCATTCCCTCTCCAGAAGGAAGAGGAGAATGGTGCGACATCTGCAAATATTAAAAAATATATGTTTATATTTTTTTTTTCATTTTTCGCACTGAAATAAAATATATTTTACTATTTACAGTTAGTTCGCTTTATAGATATTTACCTTCGTGTATTTTGCACCCCTATTAATTATTGGTATATTGCGCTTTGTATGTATAACTATTTTTGTGTATAATAAAAGGATATTTTGAAAATAAATATTTTTCACTTAAATTTTTATTTTACTTTAAACGCGATCGCATTAAAAATAAATCTAACACCAACCAAAGTTAACACTGACAAAATATTCGTACAATTTATGTATTAACTTCGTAAAATATTCTGACATTTTGGTACTCCGCTCGTGGACAGGGTTGTTAAATACAGAGTTGCTTATATGCACTGAATTAAAAATTTTATATAAAATTGATTTTTAACGTCCGCTAACTTTTGAATCAAGCTTTGTATTGATTACACAAATATATAATTTATTTTATTTCTCGAACCAAAAAATCAATTCTTACAGTTAATTTAAGTTAATAAATTATAATATATAATTTAGTCACTTTTATTATTTCTCTTGCGAGTTTGTTTTTATTTTTTCACCATATCTTCCTTTGCTCTATAAAACTTATGTATATTAAAAATATTTATGTAATTTTCTTTGTTTTTATAAAAACTTTCATCCTAATTTGTATGCAAAATGACATCAAATATATATTGAATCGTATCACGTATATCACGTATATTTTCGTGTTTGATGATCGACGAATTTGTTTTGGTAGTGAACTTTGAGAAAATGAACTGTTTTTCTATTCCCTTCCTTGAAAAAGCAATCAAACACATATTTCTCCAAAACATAAAGAAATCAGTTAGGAAAACATAAAAAAATTTTGAGTAAATGCATAGCACAGTTACTTTTTAGACAAAACTTAATGGTTGTGATAATAAAAAGAAGGTTTGAAAAATAATTACAAGTTTCTGACTTGCACATTATTTTCCTAATTGGTCTGTAATTTATTTAAATGGAAAGTGATGTTTATGTTGTTCGAATATTGCAATAGTTAAGCAGTGCACGTATATTCGAATTCGAATATTTGGATCGAATATCTTAAATATACTTTATATTTGTTTTGCGTTATACAATTACATATGTTTAACAGCGAACATGATATAGTGGGAATTTCGATGGTATTAGGTTATTTTAAAATATATCGGTTTGGTTCCGGTTTTCGCTCTGGCAAAAATATCGGTTTTCGGTTCGGTTGCGTACCAATATTTTTTATGTATTTGTTTTTTTTTTTGTCATAATTAAAATACTTGTTCATTCTTTTAGAAAGCATAGGTAATACATTTATTTAATAAAAAAATTTCAGCTTCAGAATTTCTTAAGTAAATTTAAATAGAAATAAAATAATTAAATAAATAAACAAATTTCACTTTAATTTTACTTCAAGTTTAATTAAAATTTTTCCTATTTTTCTTGCTTTTGTATAATAAATAAACACAAAATCAGTTGTTTTGAAAACTATGCGTTCTGAAGTTTGTCATTTTACAACGTTACCGAGTACACAGTTACCGAGTTATGGAGCTACCTCTGAATACCTTTATTATAATATTATGGTAGATATCAGTTTACATAACTTTCCTTTGAAAAAATGTTTCATTATTGTATATAACTTCTATACTAAAACAGGAAAATATTATGCATAATTAAGAAGTTTATAAAAATGATAACTTTGGCTATTAGAGTTGAAAATAAATTTTCAATCATCGACTACTTTAAGTGCATACATATATTAATATGTATATGTTAATGTAACATTTAAGATATATGGTCTGTGCCACGAGCTACTCGTAGTAACTTTGAGTAACACTGTGTATACACAAGTGCGTTCCACCAGCATATTCGTATAAATTTAACTTGTGTTTTACTACGAGTAGCTCGTGGAACAGACCTATAATTTGAGTCAATTTTAAATATATTTAAAAAAAATAAAAAATCGACAACTGAAGAGAAATTCAAGTAAATGAACAGATACTAAACTATATGGTGCTAAACCGAAGTAAACCGCTACATTTTATTCGGTTCGGTTCTGGATTTCGCTCTAGTAAATATATCGGTTTTTTTTCGGTGCGGTTTCGGTTAAAAGCCTACAAACTTTTTCTTAAATTTTGCATAACTTTTCTAATTTTTACTCAAATTGATTTTGATTTTCTGATTTATTTTACCCAAACAAACAACAATGAAGTACATACATATAAAATTAAAGGTTATTCTTTTTAAAAAAAATTAAACAAAAATATATACAAAAGCAACAATTTTCGAAGCAGAAAAAGTCTGCGTTCACTTCTTAACATTTAAATTAAAAGTACTAAAATTTACAGAAATCTTAAATTTAATAACCTGTGGGGTAACGTCTGCGTTTAATAACCTTTTTTAAGCGTCTTTGCATGGACTCAACCAGCTTTGCAATATCCTGTGCGTTTATTTTTAGCCATTCTTAATTAATGACGTTTCTTAACATATCCTCGATGGAAATCGTGTGCTGGTGAATCTTATTTTCCAATGATATCTGTATATATATATCAATATTTGGTGATCGATTTTTCTTTGTTGTATTGAAAAGCCAGTGACTGAATATATCCATACTGCTTTTCCGATCAATCATATTTCTATCTGTGCGTTAAAAATAACAATATTTGGATATTCAGCATACCCACACTGCCTTTTTTGCCTTATCCTATCTGCAGCATATTTCTCTAACCACTCTTTCCACCCTGCGCTGCCCCTTATGTTGTATTGCAATTCATTTGTATTCTTAACCTCACTGTGCACATAAGAGCAACAACAATATAAGTTATTTATTTACTGATAAAAACATAAAGATATCTTAATACATATATGTACATATCTATATCAAGTTAGCGTGGTCCATTAATTGCTATATTGAGTCAGAATTTGCTGAATTTAAATTTAAATTATTTTTCTATTTTAATTAAAAATTGTAAAGAACAATTTCCATTGAACTACTGTATGTTTCTTCATATGTAATTGCAATTCAAAATTTTATTACCGTTTAACAATCAACATTTGACTTAGATGTGATGCTGATAACTTTTTATTCCTTCAATTTAATAGTTTATTCCATAAGGATCATATTACAAATATAATTTACAGCCCACAAGGACGGACAGACGGAGGCAGCACGGCCTGTAAGCCATGTAATAAATTAAGAGAAAAAAGCTCCAAGCTCTTCACGTTCTCGCCATTATACTTTTTTTTTTTAATTCTATTAAAGTTTTTAATGTAAAAGCTTTAGACATATCACAATAATTTAACTAAAGCTACAGTTATATTTTTATTTATTACAAATAAATAATACATTGTGTTTAAATTTAGTTATTTATTTGATTTGATAATAAATGAGTATATTGAATTCGCTATACACAACATTAATTACAAAAATTTTTTCTGCCCAGCATTTGTCAGTCAATCGCAGAACATCCTTATGTTAAATTTTTGAGAGAGTTGAATTCAATGAATATTACGTGATATCTTGCATATGGCTATATATTAAAAGTCCTTAACCCTTGATTACTGCAATAGGTCTTAATTTCATACATTTTTTACTTATGCCAGCTGCATGACAGGTGTCTACTACATCGGTTACATCTTTATATGATTCAGGTGCTTCTTCCATGACTAGTTTAGGTGAAGCAACTCGAATTGCAATGCCAACGCTCTCCAGCTTTTGTAGTACATCTTTATAATCTAAGTTGCGACGAGATTTTGCACGTGATAATGCACGACCCTAATATTTATATATATATAATGTAATTTATAATTAATAATATATTTACAATTACTTACAGCTCCATGACATGTAGAACCAAATGTTTCGAACATTCCCTTTTCAGTACCTGTTAATACATAACTGCACGTTCCCATAGTACCACCAACGAGTACAGGTTGTCCAGTTAGCTGGTAGTCTACTGGAATCATTGGGTGATGTGGGGGAAATGCACGTGTAGAACCCTTTGATAACATATATATTATTTAATGCATTACTACGAAAATTCCTTCACCTACCTTTCTATGTACAAGCAGCTTTTTTTCTTTGCCATCCACCATATGGTTTTCTATTTTTGCTATATTATGTGATACATCGTAAATCACATGCATGTCTAGGTCGTCAGGTGTGGTGTCAAACTGTTTGGCAAATGCTTGACGTGTTAAGAAAGTCATTGAACTACGATTGACCCACGCAAAGTTTGCAGCCGCTGCCATAGCCTTAAGATAATCTTGTCCTTCTGGAGAATTTATTCGTGCACAAGCCAACTGACGGTCGTTTGTTTCAATTTTATCTCTTTTCATAGCCTTTTCCATTTGTACTAGAGCATCAGTAGCCACCTGATGACCAAAACCACGGCTACCAGAATGTATCATAACACATATTTGTCCCGTTTCTTCGATACCCATTTTTCCAGCACTCCACTTATCAAAAATTTCATCAACCACTTGAATTTCTGCATAATGATTACCAGCGCCTAATGTGCCTAATTGTGGTAAACCACGTTTTTTAGCACGTAAACTAACTTTAGACGGATCAGCATTTAGCATACGCCCATATTCTTCGCAATGTTCTTTATCTTCGGCCCAAACATAGCCTTCACGTAATGACCAATCCATTCCCATTTCTAATGCTTCTTCCAAATCACGAGCATTCATGGGTATAATACCTTTTGATCCCACGCCAACTGGAATATGATCAAACAGGGATTGAGCTAATCGCTCTTTAACTGGTTGAACATCGTCTTCATATAAATTTGTACGTAGTAAACGTACACCACAATTAATATCAAAGCCAACACCGCCAGGACTTATCTAAGAAATGAGTAGTAATATGAGTTAAAAGTAATAACATATTAAAAGGTTTGATATACAATAGACTTGGGGTCATCCATATCAAATGCTGCCATGTTACCAATAGCAAAGCCATAACCGGAGTGTATATCTGGCAAACCAATTGAGCGACCAACAATGCCTGGTAATGCAGCAACATTTGCAATTTGTTTAACACCTGGCAAAAAACCACCAACTGCACCTGGTCGGCAGGAGTTTTTTAATTCTTCAAGCATTAAACGTTCCAAACGGCTGTTGACATAAAAGCAGCCTTCGACATTCATATGTGGTTGAAAACCTTTTTTGATGCGCCAACAGCAATCACTAATTTTCTCCATATATTTCAATTCTTCCGTATACGGACGCACAACCATTATTATTTTTTAATTTCAATATTTCGTTTCAAAGAAAATTTATATATTATAATATAATATATTCTCTTTTTTATTTAAAATTCAATTTTTATCTATAAAACCAGGGAATGAACCAATACCGGCTGCATTAGTTTTGATCGAATTTAAGCTGTCAGAATTTGATTAATTTTGTAAATTGTGCAAATCAAAGAACATCTTACATGAAAGGTCTTGTTTACTGCAGATGCATCCAGATTCACAATAGGGCATTAATTTTTATTTAAATAATATTCCGCAAATAATAAAATATTGATTTTATAGCAGATAGTTTTACAATAGTTTTACATTTAGTTTTACAATACACGAATATTACTTAAAAATACAAAAAAAAATTAAAATAGATGTAAAAATTGTATACATGTATATAATGATTGCAGTTTATGTATGCGCATTTATTATATGATTTATTTAGCAACTCGCTATTTTTTTGCCATACTTAAAAGCTGCCGAATGCACCTTATATTAACAGTCGGATTATGTAGCTGCTAACGCTACTGCAGTATTATAACGGACTAAATAATAGTGGTATTCAGTATTTATTTGGTAACTTGAAATTCGGTAAAGTGATGGAACGCCAAACATCTGAACGGTCCAATTTATTTCTTTCTCAAAAAATTGTACAATGACACTATAACTTCAACAAGTTTTAAGGTGTATTTCTTTGACATGAATGTTTCAAGAAAACACGTGGTGCTTACAAATAAAAATGCAAAGCAAAAACAAAAGCACTAAAATAAGTTTACTTTTCTGAAATTGGTTAACAAATAAGCATGTCACAATACAATGGTGTCAAATCGTAAAACTGATCTATTGTGAATGATTTTTGAAAAAAAGTGGAAAACTCCAGTCAGCTGTTTATTATAGACAACTGTTGCGAGTGTTAATGAATAAATTTAAATATTTTAAATAAGTAATTTTTTAATAAAATTTGTGAAAATGACTGAATGATTAGTAATTGTGAAGAAGTCATTGGTTAATTACTTGTTAAGGAATTTTTAATTTCTGTGTTCATTAAAATATGCAATGAATGACTAAATACAAAAAACAATCATTAAAATAAAAACAAAAAGTTGTAAGAAAGAATTGCAAGAAAAATAATACAGTGTTGAATACTGCTCATTTAGCATTAACTACTGATGTTATAAGTTTAAAAATTATAAAATACATAATTTTTGAGTTATATAACTTTTGTTAATTGTCCCCTTCATTTAAAAATTTATTGCTTTGCTCATTATACTAGAATTTGTACTTTATACTACTATTGTGAATAACTCTTTTCTCTCTCTGCACTTGTTATTTGCTTTCCTTTTAATTTCACAATATTAAAAAATAACCCAAACGCCGATAGTAAGTTAATGCAAATTATTAAAATCTTGTGAAACATTTGTAATATTTTTGCTTATAAGCTATACATTTGTACTCGACGTAGATATACGGTTACACACTGTCAAGAAGTTTAAAACATATTAGTATTTTGAACTTTTAAGTAAATTTTAACGGTCCATATAGATATAAAAAAAACTTAATATGGTTGTTCGTAAATATAATGACGAGTTACAATACTTAGAAAAAGTTAACGATTATTGTTGGCGAATAAAAAAGGGTTTTCAGCCTAATATGAATGTGGAAGGCTGCTTTTATGCAAATAGTCACCTGGAGAATTTGATGTTTGAGGAATTAAAAACCTCCTGCAACACAAATACAGCAGGTGGGTTCCTTCCTGCTGTTAAACAAATTGCTAATGTAGCTGCACTGCCAGGTATTGTGGGCCAATCTATTGGCTTACCTGACATACATTCCGGTTATGGTTTCGCGATTGGTAATTTGGCTGCTTTTGATATGAATGATCCGAATGCAATTGTAATAAAATTTGATATACAGTTTTTATGTTTGCGAATTTTATTAATTTAACTTTCTTTTAGGTAAGCCCTGGAGGTGTAGGATTTGACATTAATTGCGGTGTACGTTTGCTGCGCACAAATCTACTTGAAAAGGATATACAGCCGGTAAAAGATAAATTAGCACAATCACTTTTTGACCACATTCCCGTTGGTATCGGTTCGAAAGGTGTTATACCAATGGATAGCACAAATCTAGAAGAAGCTTTGAGAACTGGTATGGATTGGTCATTAAGTAAGGGTTATGCATGGCCGGAAGATAAGGATCATTGCGAGGAGAATGGTCGCATGATGGCTGCTGATCCATCTAAATGTAGTCAGCGTGCTGTACAGCGTGGTCTACCACAATTGGGAACGTTAGGAGCCGGAAACCATTATGCAGAAATACAAGTGGTTGATGAAATTTACGATAAAAACAGTGCTTCTAAAATGGGTATTAAAGAAAAGGGGCAAGTTTGCATTATGATACATTCCGGTAGCCGTGGGTTCGGTCATCAGGTTGCAACTGATGCCTTAGTTGAAATGGAAAAAGCAATGAAGAGAGATAAAATCGAAACAAATGATCGCCAATTGGCTTGTGCACGAATAAATTCTCAAGAAGGGCAGGACTATCTAAAGGCAATGGCAGCTGCTGCAAACTTTGCCTGGGTTAATCGTACCTCAATGACATACTTAACACGTAAAGCATTTTCCAAAATGTTCAACACATCTGCCGATGATCTAGATATGCATGTTATTTATGATGTATCACATAACATCGCTAAAGAGGAAACTCACATAGTTGATGGAAAAGAAAAAAAATTGTTGGTACACAGAAAAGTAATATTAACTAATATAAATTTAAAACTGCATTATAATACAAAATACATTTGCATAGGGTGCTACACGCGCATTTCCCCCAGACCATCCACTTATACCTGTTGATTATAAATCTATTGGACAGCCGGTATTAGTTGGTGGTACTATGGGTACATGCAGCTATGTTTTGACTGGTACTGAATGTGGTATGACAGAGACATTTGGTTCAACATGTCACGGAGCTGTAAGTATAAAAATTTTTTTGAAAATTAATATTAATTTATTCTAACAGGGACGTGCACTGTCAAGAGCGCAATCACGACGTACTTTGGACCACAAAGAGGTGCTTAAGAGGTTGGATGCAATGGGTGTAGCTATTAGGGTTGCTTCACCAAAATTAATTATGGAAGAAGCGCCAGAAGCATATAAAGATGTTACGGATGTTGTAGATACTTGCCACATGGCCGGTATCAGTAAGAAATGTGTTAAATTAAAGCCTATTGTTGTGATTAAAGGTTGAACCTTTTTAAAATAGTATTTAATATAGTTTACTACTAAATTATTTTATATTTGTAATATATATGTATATATATATTTATATATATATTTATATATATATTTATATATATATTTATATATATATTTATATATTATATAGAATTATATATATATTTATATATATTTTATATATTATTTATATATTATTTATATATATATATATAGTATTTATATATATATTTATATATATATTTGTATATTGAACTATAATACAAATAAATGCACTATATTATTATTATTTTAAATTTGCAGTTTTTCTCTAAATACTTAAGAGATTCTTTTACTTATATAATGTGCTAAATTAAAGGTCCATGCCCAACGATTGGAATTTAAGTGTGCTTTGCCCAATCCACAAAAAAGGTGATCCTGCAAACTGCGCCAACTACCGCGGGATCAGTCTTTTAAATATCGCATATAAGGTTCTATCAAACGTACTATGTGAAAGATTGAAGCCAATCGTCAACCAACTGATTGGACCTTATCAGTGTGGCTTCAGACCTGGCAAATCCACTCTAGACCAGATATTCACAGTGCGTCAAATCCTGGAGAAGACTCAAGAAAAACAAATCGACACACACCACCTATTTGTCGACTTCAAAGCTGCTTTTGACACTACGACTAGAAGCACACTCTATGCCGCTATGTCTGAATTTGGTATCCCAGCAAAACTTATACGGCTATGTAAAATGACGTTGAGCAACACCACCAGCTCCGTTAGAATTGGAAAGAACCTCTCCGAGCCGTTTGATACCAAACGAGGTTTCAGACAGGGTGACTCCTTGTCGTGTGACTACTTTAACCTAATGTTGGAAACGATAATTCGAGCAGCAGATTTAAACCGTACTGGCACAATATTCTACAAAAGTGTAATGCTGCTTGCGTATGCCGACGATATTGATATCATTGGTCTGAACACCCGCGTCGTCAGTGCGGCATTTTCCAACTTAGAAAAACAAGCAAAGCAAATGGGTCTTGTGGTAAATGAGGACAAAACAAAGTACTTTCTGTCAACAAACAAATCTCCTGAGCGTCTTGGGACCTACGTCACTGTTGACAATTATAAGTTCGAAGTTGTGAAAGACTTTGTTTATTTAGGAACCAGCTTAAACACCAAAAATGACGTCAGCCTAGAGATTCAACGAAGAATTACTCTTGCCAACAAATGTTACTTCGGGCTAAGTAAGCAATTGAGAAATAAAGCCCTCTCTCGACAAACAAAAATCACGCTCTACAAATCCCTTATCATGCCTGTCCTGCTGTATGGTGCAGAAGCTTGGACAATTACCAACAGTGATGAGAAGGCGTTAGGAGCATTCGAGAGAAAAATTCTTCGGAAGATCTATGGTCCCTTACGCGTTGGCGACGAGTATCGAATTAGATGGAACGATGAGCTGTATGAGCTATACCGCGACATTGACATAGTTAAGCGCATAAAAATTCAGCGGCTACGCTGGCTTGGTCATGTCGTGCGAATGGAAGAAAGTGCTCCGGCTAGAAAGGTATTTGATTCGATACCCGCAGGTGGAAAACGCGGTAGAGGACGTCCGCATCTTCGGTGGAAGGACCAGGTGACCAACGATTTGGGGGCGCTCGGTATTACCAACTGGCGTCAGAAGGCAACTAATCGGGCTGACTGGCGGAGGCTACTCGACGCGGCCAAGGACGACACACGTCTGTAATGGCCAACTAAGTAAGTAAGTAAGTAAATTAAAGGTCCAACATCATTAGTAATGTTTCTACATTGATTGCTAAAAACGCATTTACAAAATCATGATGTAAAATAAGTTATCTTGAGTTAACGCTTAATGTTAAAACTCATACACTCAGCGATAATCAAAAGTACTTGATTTTCCTACTCTATAGTTGTAGTGATTTAGTAGCTAGTCTCAGAACAGACTTAGATCTAAAGCGGACTCATAAAAGGAAACACCACGACATACAGAAGATCTAAAAATAGTTGCATAGTTACTTCCTTTACCAAAAGAGTGAATGTCACTTCAAAAGTTGTGACATTAAACAATTCTGGAACTGCATTATAAAAATTGTTTTAATGAATGCCACTTACTTTCCCAAAATGTAGGTGAACAGAATGAGTCACCATTTCTCCTTACCACTGTTACAGACATAATTACAACCGAATAACACAAGTCAATTTTTTTCTGCAGAAGATCTATATGACTCATATTTAGAATTCTCTACGTCTAGAAGGTTGAATAAATGAAATAGTCTAGTTTTTAAACGCTATGATCGTTAATTAAAATTTTTACACATCCAAAATTGTACTAACTCCTTACCATTGTCCGATCTGTAGAAGAGTAACTTCTTAAGTAAGTAAATTGTAAGTAACCTTCCTGACAGATAAAATTTGAAGAGTTTCAATAAATAATAATTAAAGAAATATTATTAGAAATAAAAACTTAAATGAAAAACTAAACGAATGAAAACAAAAACAATTCTAATTACACTAATTTACAAATAATTAAAAGTTTCGTTTTCCAAAGACGAGCCCTAATTCCAATTACACTAGTTCACAAATAGTTAAAAGTTTCGTTTTCCAAAGACGAGCCCCAATTCCAATTACACTAGTTTACAAATAATTAAAAGTTTCGTTTTCCAAACACGAAACCTTATTTACAAAAAGGAAATTGGAAGGAAGGTGAAACTTGTACGAATATTTTAAGCTATATAAAGTTAATATATCTTAATTGGTTTAGCTATTATAGCTAAAAATGTACGGATGAAAAATGTTTTTTTTTACGCTTTTTTAAACTCTTTCGATTTTCAATGTGATGGGACTCCCACAAATATATTAAAAAAAATTTTATGAATATTGAAAAATTGGTCTTACATCATCATTATAAAATATATTTATAAATAAATCTATATATAATGAAAATATCGGTTCTTTTATTAGGTATCCAATTATAAATTTTTTTGTTTATTCATTGATATGATTTGTTTTATAAATATATTTCAAAGTTAATTAGGGTTTATACATTCACAATTAATAAGAGCTCATATACATATATATATATGTAGGCTAGGTTATACAGGCGATCCCAAGGGGATCCATTGTGCGCCGTATTATTAAAAACTCAAGGGTTAGAATCATTTAGAACCTTTGGCAAAGTTTATGATGCTATTTAAAGAGAGGTCCTGAAGTTCGCCAAGATCCTCAAAAAAGAAAGCCCTTAAAGTATAGAGGCGGCACCGCACATCTACCGGATAGAAGCAAAAGAGGTGGGATGCACTTTCATCGTTCTTACCACAACTGCGGCAGATATGGTTGAAGGGGAGCTTTAGTCTCTTAGCATGATTACCTAGAATATAACGACCTGTAAGTAAACCTACTGCAAGACTGATATCTCTTCGAGGCATCTTTATGAGAGAGTTTGATTTTCTTCTATTGGTGTGTGGCCAAATTGCGTACAGATGCTTGCATATCGTAGAGTCTTCCCATCTTTTATTAAAAAGATCGGCACAGGAAGAACTCTATACCAGTTTACATTATGTCAACGATATGATTGTTTAGATGTTTCTGTTGCTTTGCAATTGCCGAAAATATTCCTATGACTAGGAACTCAGAATAGAGAGATATTGAACTGCGTCGACATCCCATTTAGAGATGTGTATTTCTGCTGGTGTTGTTGTTGCTGTACTGTTGTTTTGAATGCGTTTTATTCATTTATTATTATTATTATCATTTTACGAATATTAATAATAAAATATATTTATAAAAAACATTTATAAATATTAAAAATTTTAAGAATATTAACTCAGTTTAATTAAAAGAAGTACAAGGTCTTTATATAATTTATTTTTGTTATAAAATGAAGTGGGCTTAATTATTTACCAGAATTAATGCAAGATTTAAATGAGATATATTCTTTAAATGCTTCAAAAAGCCATGGTACATCCCCACAAATGACGTGCTAAGAGGCCTTAGAATAGACCCGGTCGAAAAATACATAAGGGACAGAGCTTTGAAGCTATTCGCGAAAACCAACAGGCTGTTCTACTTAGTACTATCTAATCTCAGAATAATCTATAGCAGCACGGGGCGGTACGCAATTATCGAATAATCACGAAGCTTTTGAGGAATACTTAAATTAGTCAGTGAGAAGGTTGGGACTATGCAGAAACCCCCAGCTATTAAAAAGTAAAAGTGCACAGATGCACTAACTTGAAAAAGACTCATCATGAATATATATAAAAATAAATATTTTTTTTGTATTTTTGATCTGTAGAATATATGAATATTTTCTTTAGGTTTTAAATGATATTATAAACATAAAAATGTATTAGGATTCATGATGTGATTAAGTAATGTGGCGCCTTATGTGAAATGACACATTTTAGTATAAATAAATGATTGTCTAAGTAAAGAGGACTTCCAATTTTTTATAGTTCACAGTTTACAGTTTTAATGAATATGTACTCAATATTCATTAAAGTAATACATGCAAACTTCAGTCTACAAAATTACTATAAAATTTATATTATTATTATATTATTAATATTATTATAATCTTAATGTGAACATAAAATGATCACTTACTAATATTTTAACATAAATAATGGTAAAATACTTTTACAAAACATTTATATTAGAAATGTGCATAGAACTTGAATGAAAATTTATTCACTTCTATTCTAAATAATCCCAGGGAATAACTCTCCCTCTTCCCACGCTATTCCCAAAAAATATAAGTTTCTTGTTGTGAAATGCTTGGGAGATAGCTGTTTTGAGCATAACAAAAATAATTTTGGGCATAAAAAATTAAATATTCCATAAATAAGTTATGTCGCTTTTACTCTTCCAATTCTTGCTGTTTCAGTTTTTCCATTTTCTGGAAGTGTTTGCTTTGAAGATCGAGCAGCTTTCCAATAGAACGGTTTATTTTGTTTGTGTTTTGTGAGTCTTTCTTGCTATTTTCCATTTCAATTTTAAACAAGTTCCTCTTTTAAAGTACTTGTAGCAATATCTC